ATATATTTTTGTACTAGACTCTAGACTCCTATCGATTGCCCTGCAAACGCGAATTTTGCCTTATCAAGTCAAATTCAGTCAAGCAGCGGCCATAACGACATTCACTAGTTACATTATCGACAGAGAGTTTGGAGTTAGGCGGGCCTAGTGAGGCTTCCCTAGGCGAGGCATGAGTCATCGCCGCAAGCACCGTAGAGTGGGATAGTCTCAAGGAGAAGTGTACAGTCATCGTCTAACCTGGACGGGGCGTCACCCTCGTTCATTTTCACCTGTTGTTCTACACAAAACTAGTAGTTTCATCTCACAATGGGCGTTTACAGTTGCTCGAGCGTGAGTAATAGAAAGGCAATATAGGGCGCAAACACGTCCCTCTTTCATTCTAGGAATCTGGAGGCTCAAGCGGCAGCTGAAAACTTGGGGATAATTAAATTCGTGTCAGTAATTAAGTAGCCTACGGATCAAGCCCTCTGCCTTCCCTGAAATCCCGCATAAACTGCCGCAGTTGCATCCTTGCTCACAATCTTTCCTTATTTGTATAGTGTCTGGTAACAGTTTACAGATGACAAACTTTCAACGTTTATAACATTGAAGCATCTTGTAGCAGAGGTTCCCGGAGTTTTCACGAGAGTCGAAACATTAAAGGTGGTTGTGTAATATACAACACGAAGGTTCGGACTATTAGCCTAGTGCTTTACTTTATGCGTTCCCTTGATTTTATCACATCTGAATCATTATTTTGTCGGAAGAAATTTGAATAAGGCAAGGACAACGAGATTCGCAGGATTTACTGACGAATCACGTCATCAAAGCCTGCGAATCGCATTGACCTTGCCTTGTATCATATCTGTCAACGTGTTTGTCTGTCTTTGTCCTTCATATTAAATATCTGACCAATTACTGCTATGTGTGATCAGATATAAGCAAAGGCAATCGGCAAAGTCATGTCATTTGCTCTTTCGTTTTATTATGTGCGTATTTTTTCCTCCATACTCATGTTAATGATCTGTTTCTATGACAGGAATATGAACATCGAAACACTTATCTTGAAAAAGAAAATCGTACCCTACTTTTACAAATGCGTTCCCTTCTTTCGCAAAACCAAAACGTTCTAACGGATGCCCTTGAGAAGAATGAATTTCACTACAGGGAGAAGCTGGCACTGCAGTGAGTACGAAGTAGATTTTTCCCTAAGTCAAACTGACTTATTAAATTCATTTAAGCATTCTTTTAAAAGGGGCTCAAAATCCAATGAGCCCTGTCCTTTTCATCGTCAAAAACGTAATTAAAATTTCTGCCCATTTTCGCAGAACGGTGTTGCTGTAACGTAAAGAAATTTATTTGCAGTCGATCCTAGCTCCAACTGTTTGGTGTCTGAAGCAAAAGTTTGGCAGATTTTACCGTTTATTCCGAAAAAAATAATTATTTCACACGGTTCATTGGACCAATTTCATGTCAGATCGGTTTTAAGATTTATGCAGGGTTGGGCCCACGAGATTGATTTTTTTAGATTAGTTGCACCACATGGTGTAATACTGGATTATATTCCGAATCTTATTTTAAATTCATTAGTGATGAATTAGCGATGCTGAAAAGGCACAAGGAACGTCTGGAAGAAAAGATCTTCGAACAATATAAGATGCTACCCTCCCTTAAAAAGTGAGCGACTGTACTATGATCTATTTGTCTAAAACCTGTTGTTATGCTTTGACAAATATTTTTTTCACATGTTGTTCAGATAATTACTACATATTGAGGGAAATCGACATGGGCATTTCTTATTTTAGTCATCGGTAGATAGCTAGCTCCACACCACTGTTCGGGAGACCTGGATTTCGAGCCCGACCCTTTTGCTAATTGGGTGTTATGTAGTCCAGTGTTCAGCCATTAATGAACGAGCCAATTCTATTGTCGATTGTCATCAGATGATTAACTATGACATAGGGGCGGCCGTCAATTAGATTAAACGACGTGCTCGTCCCGTTTGGCTGTGCGGCTCACTCCAAGAATA